GAGCCGGAAGTGGCTGGCGCGGGGCCGCGGGGCCTCGGGGCTCGGCGACCAGCACCCTGGGGTACCCTTCCCCAAAGCCGCCGGTCTCCTCGCTCTCGGTTGGAGCAAGGAGACTGCACCTCCCCGCCATCAACCCGGAGCCACACCTGCAGCCTGGGCCGGGCGAAAGCCTGGACCCATTGGATCCCCTCGGATTCTTTCCCAGCGCTCATCTATCCAGCGCCCAATCTGCAAGGGTCATCTGTGTTGTGCCAGGCACCTAGTCCGGCACTGGGTCTGCACTGGTGCGTGCACAGAAGGGTCCATGCCCTCTTGAAGTTTTTCTTCTATCAGCGTCAATTAACCTAGCAAGCGTCCAGTTACCGCTAGGAGACGTGCTGTCTAGGGACCAAAGTCACGGAAGATACGGCTGGGCCAGGGTTAGTACCTTCCACTAATTGACTTTGCTCCTTAGGGCTCCTCCTTGACTAAGAAGGACGCTCTCAGCCAGGCAGAGTGGTGCCTGAATTCCCTGTCAATCCCAGCACCGTCGGAGGCTGGGGCTGGAGAATGCAAGTTGGAGCTCAGCCCCGGCAACTAGAGACCCTGTCTTCAGATAAAATAAAGCGTAGTTCAGTGGTAGAGCACTCTAGGACCTGATCTCCAATACTTCAGGGCGGGGAGGAGACCACACCTCTTCCATTTCCTTTCTGTTCCTAGGAGCAGAATTCTGAAGCTTCCACCTCTTTAGCAGATTCCTACCTCAACCACCCACATTCAAGAATTGCCTTGGAGCACAATGCAGAGAGAAGGCACTTCTGTGTGGCTCCAGGCAAAGCCAGGGTCCAGGAGGAGCTAAAATAGCAGGCTTCTTTCTCCTCAGGGCCTACCTGCCATTTAAGACTTTTCCAAGAAGCTGCTTTCATGGAGATGCAGTTCGGGGAACCTTTGGACCAGGTGGAAGTCTTATCCTTGAGACACCTAAGCAAGGTGTTTATTTCACCACTCTGCTCTCGAGATGTTGCCTTACTTCAACATAAAGATGAACAGTTATCTCTGTGCCTCACTAATTTGAGGGTAACTAATTTGAAAGCACTAAGATATTGTGAGAGAGAGAGGAGAGAGAGAGAGGAGAGAGAGAGGGGGGGGAGATTACTGTTATAAATACAAGGTAACACCTTGTTACAAGGGAGCTTTTCTGAAATGTTGGCTAGAGCCACACTTGATCACCCCACTGGCTGTTCCTATAAAATGCAGGTTAAAGAGGAGCCGCTCTTTTCCAAGTCTGAGACAGACATGTGAAGTCTTTGCCTTCTCTAATCTCACATCATTTTGCAAGTGCTCAGAATTCCTGGTACTTTGTAGTTTGATGTTATATCACTCATCTAATTTAAGTTGCTATTTTAGAAAGGATTACTTGCATATATAGAGACAGATATATTTCTTTGCCTAATGCCATGTGAGAAAGCTGTGGGGGTGTTTGCAGAGGATGACTTTAAAAAAAAACAGAGCTCATATTTCTTTTTCTTTTTTATTAAGTTTCTATTTTCCACTGTGTTCCTTGGGATTTCAAGTGTCAGTGAAACAGTTGGAATCCCAATAAATCTAATTTTTATTCTAAAAGGTATATTATTTGGGATGTTCCATTTACCTGGAAGACATATTTCTTCTTGTTGATCCCTCTTTTTTCTTTTCACCTTTCAGGAAGAAATTGCTGAAAAAGATCACAAGCAAAGACTATTATCTATATATTTGGTAAGATCTAGTAAAAATAAAAATTTCCCTAGTCCCTGAATTCCAACTGCTTATTAGGGAGAAATAATAGTCCTTTGAAGCAGCTGTGTTGGAAATCAGAGACATGCCCTTTGGTGCTAGTTTTGCAACCAACAGAAGGGTAATAATCTTAGGCAAGTAGCCTCATCCCTATATTTCCCCATCTAAAAAATTAAGTAGGGCCGAGAAGCCAGGCTCCGCCCACACCCTCCGCTGGCGCGGATGCTGGGGCAGGCTGCTTCCGGTCAGGTCAGGTAGGTGCACTGCCCACCAGGCAGTACCCTGTGCTGTCTGCTCTGCACTCTCAGCCCGCCTGCCCCTCAAGGGCTGCGCGTGTCTACAGCAGCTGCTTCTGTTGTGCAGTGTTGTTCAGGATGGCTTAAGGCCACTAGCTCGCTTGAGCCCCACAGGAGCGCTAGAGGTGAAGAAAATATTTGGAAGCTCTGTGAATACATCAAAAACCATGACCAGTATCCCTCAGAAGAATGTCACCCTGTCTTTAAATCCAATGAGAAAAGGACGATACCTGCCTGGAAGCAGCCGGCAAGACCTGGAAATGGACTCGTGATCTGGGATTACCGTGTTGTTTTGCTTCACCTTTCGAGTGGAGGACAGAGCGTCGTTTCTGATCTAGATACCGTGCTGCCATTTCCCTGCCCCTTTGACGCATATGTAGAAGATGCCTTTAAGTCTGATGAAGACACTCACCCACAGTTCAGGAGGAAAGTGAAGAGTGATCTGTTCCGATTGCTACTTGAAGACCTTTGCTTCTGACCAGTCTCACATGAAAGACTCTGGGGGGAACTGGCGGGAGCCTCCCCCACCTTATCCCTGCGTGGAAACCACCGGAGACTGCAAAACGTACCTGGGTGATTGCATCGGTATGGATCCTGAGGTTGGGTGGGGAGCTGTGTACACACTACCTGAATTCGCACATCGGTTGAGCAGTACAAGCTACTGAGCTGGACATCAGGATGGAGAACTGTGGAGAACTCGGGGACAGGAACAGGCCATCCTGTCATGTAGGACTACAAATGTGGTACCGTTGGCTTGGAGTTACAGTTTTCTCCTTCAATTCAGTGGAGTATATGAACACAAATACAGATGAACTAGAGAAAAACCTTTTTGGGGCTGGAGTAGAATGCATATTTAGCGTATGTGAGGCCCGGGATTCCATCCCAGCACCTTCCCTTGATGTGTCAGGTGGACACTTGTCCTGGTGTCTGATGGCTGCCTTAGGGCTCCTGTGTTAAAGTGTGTGACGGCTGGGGCCGGACCTCTCTGTGTGCAGATGAGATGACTCTCCTGCATGTTTCTGTCTTTCTAGCCACACTGTAAGCCCCCTGTGTGCAAGGCTGTGTTTCACGGATATGTGAACCTTTGGTGTATCCGTAAAAGATGCTCATAAAATATTCCTGGAGACAGCACTACTGCTTGGAAAGGGATTGTATTGTAAGTTTCAGCAAAAAGTATTAGTCTTTTTGTACTACCGTGTTGTTAACAATTGCATTTCCTTCAGGCTGAGTGATATTTGGCCTATTTATAAGTGATTTTTAAAAGATAAGATTTGAAGTTTATTGTGTTGAAGGTTTTGGGGTTTTGTTTGTTTGTTTGTTTTGTTTTTGGTACCGCGGATCAAACCCAGGATCTAGAACTTGCAAGGAAGGCATGCAGTGAGCTAAATCCCCAGGCCTGTGTTATTCTTCATGATCGAAAATACTTAAGAGTGTCCCAGTCATGTATGAGAAGCATCTATGTGCTTTTAAAAAATGTGCTTTAAGACAAATTTGTCATGTCTGCCTTCTTGGAAAATTGGCTTTAATCATACAATTCCAAATGAAAGATATCTGCCCTTAAAAATAAAATAAAAATAAAAAATTAACTAGGTTGCACAGTCCAATAGCCCTCTGAGTGTGGAAAATTGCATGAGTTCAAACAAAAGGGCCTCTTCCTCCAGTCTAAGTCCCCTCCTGCCCTCAGCATGAAGCCCAGACTCACTACCGTGGCCTGCTAGGTTCGTCTTCATGATTATTATGGTTTGTCTCTAGATGTCCTCCCAAAGCCGCTGTGGTTACAGGTGGGCTTTTCACATCTCAGAAGGACTTGTGAAGCCTTTGCCTTCTCTGTTCTCATATTATTTCACAAGTGTTCACAATTCATGATTCTTTGCAGTTTGATATTATATCACTCATCTAAGTTTTCAGAAATTTCAGAAATGATGGCTTCTTAGAGGTGGCTAGATCTAGAGAGTGTGAGGCTGAGATAAAGTGTGTGGTGCTAGAATCAAGTGTGATTACTAAATGAGTCGATGGGGTTGACGTAGTTCTAAGTGTGGATAAAGGCAAGGCCCACCCTGGGTGTAAGTGCTACCTGCCCTATGGACACACTACGGGACCCAGAAGAGGACTGCTGCTCTTTGCTGCTGCTTCTGCTGCGGCTTCACTGCTTTGCTGCCTTCTGCCTACCAAGAACGGTTTCTCCTCTGAGATGCCCCTCTGCCACGCCACCCTGCCTTGGAGCCAGCCACTATGGACTGAAACTTCTACAAGCTGTGAGCCAAACAGATCTTTCCTCCTTTAACTTTGAGTGTCAGGTATTCTGTCTCAGCAATGAGAAAAGTAATTAAGTCAGTGACCTAGCATCTAACTCTTTGGTCTCTTCCCCTGTGAACACACTTGCCATGCTTCTGCTGAAAGGAACCTCTCTTAGTTCCTCAAACGTGCTGTGTTCTCTTTCGTGTTTGACCTTTGCACAAGCCAAAGCTGCTTGCTTGGAACGTTTTGTTCTCCCTTTCCCTTCCCTTCCACGCTTTCTCCCGGTTTACTTGCCTAACTTCTGTTCACCCTTCTGGTATCCCCTTAGCTATTACTTTCTCCATGATCCCTCCTCATGTGGGTTGGATTAGGATTCCCTGGCTGTGATCCCATGGCTCCTTGGGCTTCATCTATCACACTGCTGATAGTGCTGTGTTATAATGTTTAACGTAATGCCTGCATCCCACCATTTGACCATGATATCTGAGAGAGCAGGGATACGTTTGGTTTATCCCTGTTGAATCTTCAGAGCCTGGCATGGCGCGAGAAATATAATATTTCTCTCAACAAATGGGTCAAATGAACAACTAACTGAGGGTGAAATCTTTACAAGTAGCCATTAAAAATTGTAGCCACCTATCTACTGCCTTCAGATTATTTTCCCTTCCAGACTCTAGGAATCACCAATGAAAGGATCGCAGCTATTGTGTGAGAATTATTTTGCCACTAGCCGAACTGTGGCTTGTGCACTGTGGTTCCATGCAAGGCAGTGGTGATCATTTTTAGAAAAGTGTCAAGCTCTCCATTTAAGAACCATTGGCAGGGCCAGGGATTTAGCTCAGAGGTTCGGTGGCCTGCCTTGCAAGCGCAAGGACCCAAGTTCAACCCCGGTACCCAAAAAATTAAAAAATAAAATAAATAAAAACCATTGGCAGATCCTGCTTCATGGAAACCACTAGTGGAATATCTGGAATGGGCATAAGAATTAATTCTGGAGAGAGAAAACAGAAAACGAAAATGTCTAACATTTGCCACATACATTTCCTCATTTAATTTTCTATAAAAAAATACGATCTTTTGTCAGAGTGTATAATTGAGGAAACTAAAGCAAGTAAGAAACTTAACCCAAGCTACTGACACCAAACCCATGCTATTTACCACCATTATCTCATTTTCCTTCTGCCAAACTGAATTTGTTTATTAACAGGCTACCTTATTCCAAAGATATACTTAACATATGTTGCGGGGATACATAGACTAAAAATAAAAATCAGCAAAAAAATATTTCAAGTACAGTAAGTCCCCAATTCATGACCATTTGAGTTGTGAACTTCCACAGATATGAATGGACCTTCTGTTACAAACGTGTGTAGATCTGAACAAATCATGGAAGTCGCTCACGCGTGTACCAGATACCGTCACTGCTGTGCTGCTGAGTGCTCACTGCACAGTGTGACAGTGCACAGCAGTACAGGGCTCACTCAGAGCCCAGGATGACAGGAAGCAAGAGGAAAAGCAGCAGTGAGGTGGAAGGGACTGCTAGAAAGTGCAAAGCAACACACATTGTATATTTGTGTTGGACTTACAAATAAATCAGCTTAAGAATGTTCTGAAACAGACCTCATTCAGAATGGAGGCTTACTTAATAAGGACATGGCTATAAATAGGAAATTGAGGGAATAATGTGCATAAGACATAGACCAAAAACACCCAAGACAATAAAAAATACTCTATGTGCTATAAGATTGCTATCCTAGCCCCACGTATTTGGTTGTAAGCATTTATATGGTTGTCAAGAAAAGAGAAACTTGATGATCAAGTTTCACAATTCAGATTAGCTATTAGATAATATCTGCCCATTTGCTCCAAATAGTTTCATTAAATTATATAGATATAAGAATCCAGGCCCAGAAAGGGGAAGAGTTGCTTAAGGCTGGCTGGTCCCACACACCAAGCCTTTCGCAAGGATATTCGATTGCTTTAACTTTTCCTTTGAATCATTAAAACATATGTCCTTGACCTGACATTTATCAAATGTTTATCTGCAGCCAGCTTCTATGCTAAGTAGTGTACATGACTGGGTTTATTTTATGCTCAAAAAATTCTGAGCAGTAGCTCTGTTGTTGTCATTTAAGATGAAAACTTAAGTACTATTTCGCAGTTGACACATTACAGGTTCCATCCTGGGCCCGTGGGAATGCATGCCTTCCATTCTGTCAGTGTGTACAATTTCCACAACTTTGGGAGTCCTATGCCCCCTTGAAGGTCAGATCTTTTACATGTGGTTGTCAGGGCTGGGATTTGGGGATAGACAGGTCTGACTCCACACCCCCATTTTGCCACTTACTGATCATAGGACCATGAGAGATCTCCTTAATTTACTGAGATGACAATAATTGTACCTATCCCTGAGGTTCTTGTGAAGGATAAATGAAATAGCAAATATAAAATGCTAAGCAGAATCTGGAACCTAAGCAGAATAAGTGCTCTCAAATGGGAGTTATCATCATTATCATTATTACTATTAAAAATAGTTTGAATTTTGGTGTGATTCCTAGGACAATGCAGGACTTGGCCTAAGCTTTGAGCTCCAGTCTTGTGTGGGCTGAGTAGCTTTATTGCCCCATGTATGTGACTTAACCTTCTCTGTGTATCACTTACCTCCTCTGTCACGTGAGACCCCACTCCCAATGTCACCCCCATATTGCTGAAAAGATCAAACACAGTCTTAGAGGGAAGAGTGCTTTAAGAAAGACAAAACAGAAAAGCAAAGGAAAGTTTATGTTGATTCGGGTTCTGGACACTTCTACCCAAAATCAGAGACAAAATGCAAAGAGATTGGCAACGGCAGCTCTTCCTGGTGTGGGGAGGGCTGGGATAGGGTTTGGACCTAGCGGGCCATGGATACTCTCCTGGGCTCCGTCCACAGACTCTCCTGTGATTGTGGACAGTACCTTCTTGTCCTAACATAAACGGAATGTAGGGAGAGAAGTTGGAATAAGGTGTGCTTAATGCATGCTGGTTCTCTGCTGGAAATGTCCATCCAGGCCCTCTCCCAAGGGAGGACGTTCCTACTTGGGAACTTCCAGTTGCCTTTCACATATCCGTGGGGAAAACGTCCCTGGTTCCTTGGGTGTTTTTATTTGGTTCTCTGTGCTCCTGCTTTCCTAGGACCACATCTCCATGAGATAACCTCTAACAATCCTTTGCAAGTACAGTTCATTCCTGTTATTCAGAAGTTATGGGGTCAGGGATTTAGCTCAGTGGTTTTGCTGCCTGCCTTGGAAGCGCAAGGACCCGAGTTCTATCCCTGGTACAAAAAAAAAAAAAAAAAAAAAAAAAAATT